CTCCCTCCTTGCACACAGTCTCAACTGGTCCCCAATGGGTACCATCCCTGCCTACCCATGCCACCCCAGGAGGATGAAGGTAGTATGGAGGCAGTGGGGCATTTTTTTTTATCAATGTCTCTCTCATTGTCAAGGTGAGATGCTCTAAATTAAGGGTGAAATGTTCCTCTTAATTTGGGATGATTAAAGAAGAATAAATGGATACAGATTGGGTATCCCTTATCCAAAGTGCTCTGGAACACCTGTAGTTGCATTAGGGTAAATAAAAAATATATTGGAGATGGTTCTATATCTAAACATGAATTTAATTTATACATCCTAGACACGCCACCACTTCCACTGCCACGACACAACGCTATAGAATCTTGGGAGTTGTAGTTTTACAGGCTCTTTAGCCTTCCCTGCTGAAGAATGCTGGGACATCCCCAAACTACACTTTCCAGGTTTCCATAGCAGTGAGCCATGGTATTTAAAGTAGTTTGACTCTGCATTAATTCCACAGTGTTGATGTATGCCTAGATAATGAAACATTGGTTAGTTCTGATAGTTCAATGTGCACAAACTTTGTTTCATACACAAAATTATTAAAAATATTGTATAAAATTATACAGTATAGATGCATCCTAAGCTACCTATGTAGACAAAGTTGGAGCATTTTGGATAACAGGTGCTCTGCCTGAGGAAAAGGAAAGAAAGCCACTTCCTTTAAGGAAAGTTCTCTGTATCACTTCAGCAAATGAAAGTGAAGGCCTCCAAAAACAATGAAGAAGTAACAGAGTAGTAGTAGTTATACCTGAGAAGTAAAACAGGGTTGACATAGCATTTAATCACGATATATGGGATATGGAAAGAGCCTCCTCGAAGACTGAGTAAATACAGTTGGGTGTCCCCTGGGCAACATTTCTTGTAAATAGCTAATCTTTACAAACCCAAAAGCATTGCTTTTTAAACATTTTAAATTGGAGGTGTGTTTTTTCTTCCACAATAAAATAAATATAAACTATATGGCAATAACACAACACATGAGGAAAGAAAAGGGGGAAAATAAGAAAGACAAAGGGGAGATTTCAGAATCAAAAGGGTAGGCGGGTAACTTCTCAGAAATAAAGCAGAGCTGACACAGTACTTAATCATTATGAGGCCACCTACACTGTAGATTTAATGCAGTTTGATGCAATTTTAACTGTGGTTCAACGCTGAAGACTGCAAAACAACTCCCATAAATCCACAGCACTGGGCCACGGCAGTTAAAGTGACATCAAAACTCCATGATATCTATAGTGTGGAGGCATATTATATAGCGACAACATTATTTGTTTATTTATTTGTTTATTTCCTATAATTATATCCTACTCTTCTCGCCCCGAGGGGCACTCAGAGCAGCTTACAGATTGGACACTTCACTGCCACATTGTGATGTAAAATACAGCATGTTAAACTTCAACAAAATAAACATATAAATACATAAACTGTTAAAAACTACAGGAGGAAAAAAGAGAGGAATAAATAAGGAATGAAGTGGGCTGACTTGAACACTGAAAGGGATGAGGAGAGGATGTTTGGGGGATTTATTCCATAAGAATTTAGTTTTGGATGTTAAAGTGGTGTCAAATTGTTGATTTCTAGTGTAGTTAGGTGATTCCCAAACTGATCTTCCAGGTGTTTCTGGATTTTAGCTCCCAAAAGTCCTGATCACTGGCCAATGTAGCTGAGGCTTCTAGGAATTGAAGTCCAAAACCGCTGGAGGGCCAAAGCTTGGGGATCATCACTAGTGTAGATGCCCCTTATATGGCTATAACATACCACAAGACGGAAGGAAAAATAAATAAATAATAAAGAAGACCAATACGGCTAATGGGCTAATCAATAAAATGAACTTGAAATGAAGAAGATAATCAGCAGATTTAAGCATTGAAGGAGGGGGGCAAAGAAGTTAGGGAAGAGCCTGAGGGAAATAACACACAGGAGGAAAGAAAGGGGAAGGAATAAGGAAGGTAGAGGAGATGCCTTCATAAGAATTGAGCTATGGCTGTTAAAGTAGTCTCAAAGTGCTGATTACTATAGTAGATAGCAGAGTTACTTCATATGGTGATAACACACCACATGAGGGAAGAAAAGGGAAGGAATAAGGAAGGCAGAAGGTAAAGTTAGGCACCTAAAGTGAGAAGGAGAGGAAAATTATTATTATTATTATCATCATCATCATCATCATCATCATCATCATCATCATCATCATCATCATCATCATCTTACCCATCTCTTCCCAAGGTTCAAGGTGGGGTACAGCAAAATTAAAAAAAACATAGAACCCTTAAAATACTTAAACATATGAAAAGTTATAGCATAAGATCAAAACACATGAAAATTGTTCCTACAAATAAGATTTATTTATATTCTGCTTTATCTCTCCATATGGAGACTCAAAATAGCTCACAATAAAAATATTGCAACTTAAAATATACAAATATTAAATAATAAAAGTTTATTATTATACATTATCAGTAGTAATATTAGTCAATATTAGTATTATATATTACTATATTGTACTATGCCACTATACTGCAACATTATTAGTAATATTACATGATATATATAATACACCACCATGCCCAACTAGTCGTGCCCAACTCTGGGAGGTGGTGCTCATCTCAATTTCTCAGCTGAAAAGCCGGCATTGTCCGTAGATACCTTCTAGGTGGTGTGGCTAGCATGACTGCATGGAGTGCCAAAGTGATACCTATTGATCTACTCACATTTGCATGTTTTTGAACTGCTCGGTTGGCAGAAGCTGAACCTAACAGCGGGAGCTCACCCCGCTCCCTGGATTCGAACCACCGACCTTTTGGTCAGCAAGTTCAGCAGCTCAGCAGTTTAACCCGCTGCACCATATTATAAGTAGTATGTAATATATTGTGCTATATCATAAGTTGTAGTATATATAACATATGATATATTATATTACAATATTATTAATATTGTGTATAATATATTAACATTGTCACATTACAAGGTTACTATTTCTATATACTATTATATTGTATATATTGAGGGGCTCCCAGTTTATTTCTAAATATAATATATTGCAACATTATTAACATAATATATACTAGTATTATCAGATTACAATGTTATTATTTCTATATATGATTATATTCTATATACTGAGGGGCTCGCAGGTTTATGTATAAATAAATGAACCAATCAGATGCCAATTTAAAAAACATAGTTAATTAAAACACTTTTGATCCTGGGATTAGTGGCGTGTACTCTTTGGCAGAAAAGACGAAATAACCTTGTGGACTACAACTTATAGGATTTCAGGGCACTGAGCGACAGCAGCTAAAGTGGTTTAGAACTACATTCATTCTACAGTGTAGACCAGGCCTGGACAAACTTGGGTCCTCCCTCCAGGTTTTTTGGACTGGACATGAGCCCACGAAGATTCACATGTTACTAACACTACTGTTAAAAAGTATTCTAGTAATAGTAACAGCTGATTCTGCATTTACAGTTGTTATTCTTGATTAGTAGCCTGCATTCTCATGTTTGTTTGTTTTTTTTCTTTTTTGGGAGCCAACAAGGAAACTAAGTGAATTTGTGTAATAGTTGCAGAGTGATCTATACTTTCTCTATAAGCCTGTTCACTCACTTGCAAGGAATGAACATATTTACCAGGAAAATTGCTAAATGTGAGAAAACAGTGCTTCTAGTAGGAAAAGCGTTATAATATTTCTCTATCATGTTATTTTTTATTTGATATTCTATTATTTCATATATTTTATTTTGATGTTATTATTTGTAGTTTATTTTGCTGTGCTGCAATTTTGGGCTTGGCCTCATGTTAGCCGATTGAGTCCCCTTCGGGAGATGGTGGCGGGGTATAAATAAAGTTTTTTTAATATTATTACTATTATTTGTTTGTAGTTTATTTTGCTGTCCTGCAATTTTGGGCTTGGCCTCATGTTAGCCACCCAAGTCCCCTTCGGGAGATGGTGGCAGGGTATAAATAAAGTTTATTATTATTACTACTATTATTTGTTTGTAGTTTATTTTGCTGTGCTGCAATTTTGGGCTTGGCCTCATGTTAGCCGCCTGAGTCCCCTTCGGGAGATGGTGGTGGGGTATAAATAAAGTTTATTATTATTATTATTATTATTATTATTATTATTACTATTACATTATTATGAATAATAGCTTATATAACTCTTTATAGACAGAATAAATGTGTTATTTTTAGAGATCTAAACCTTTGTGTCCTGGAATAACAATAGAACAGATCAGACGGGAAGTGATCCTCCTTTGGAGGCTTTTAAGCAGAGGCTGGATGACCATCTGTAGGGGGTGCTTTGAATGCAAATTTCCTTCTTCTTGGCAGGGGGTTGGACTGGATGGCTCAGGGGGGTCTCTTCCAACTCTATGATTCAGGCTTAAAGGGCTGGGGGGGGGGCTGAGGAATGTTAGGAATGGTGGGAGTTGGAGTCCAAAACACCTAAAGGGAGGGCCCAGGCCTGCTGTAGCCACTCCTAAACCTGACTGTTTTGTTGTCCTAATCTTGAAATGAACAAAGGACAAATTAGGGAAGAACCCGAGAGGGATAAGCAAAGGGAAGTCAGATAAGGAAATAAGGAAGTCAGTGGGTCGATTTAAACACAGAAAAGGGGGGGGGAGAGAGGAGGAGAAGTTAGGGAGGTGCCAGAGGGAGATCAGCACAGTTTGCCATTTGGGGAAGGAAGGAAGAAGGAAGTAAGGAAAGAAGGAAGTGAGGAAGGAAGGAAGGAAGGAAGGAAGGAAGGAGAAGGAAGGAAGGAAGGAAGGAAGGAAGGCCAAGATCCCCGCCCCCCTTTGAACGCCATGAACACAGGCCCAGGCCTCCAGATAAGGCAGGCAGGCAGGCCTTGGAGGGCTATGGCTGCCCTTCTCTTCCCACTCCTCCTCCTCGGCCTCTCCCCTCAGGCCTGGCCCTCTCCTTCCTTCCTTCCCTCCCTCGGCCACCAACTCACCCCCAGAACCCGCAAGGGCAGCGGGGAGGCAGGCTGGGGGCCTTGCTGCGCTCGCTGCCGGTGTCTCCCATGGCGGCGGCGGCAACGGCGGAGGCGTCGTCGTCGTCACCGGTTCCAGGCCGGGGCTCGAAGCCGGGATTCCAGGCCGGTCAGCTGGAGTCGGGCGCTACCACTGCAGCCGAGGCAGGGTAGGTCGGTGGGTGGGTTCGCGAGCGGCAACGGAAGCGAGAGGCGGCCGCGCCCTGTGGTGCCTGAGGTGACACTGAGCTAGGCCGCGGCTGCTGCCGGGGGCGGGTTGTGACGGGGCCCTGAGGCGCCACCCCCGCGGGCCGCGCGTGGCCCCTGACCCAACAATGCCCTCGGCTCCTCCCCCTCCAGCAGGGAGGGTGGTCTGGCCCGGCCGCTGGAAGAGACCCGGCTAGGACTGCACCAACGGCCCAAAAGAGGTGAGCACCGCCAAAGGAAGCTTCTCCCTCACCAGCACCAAAATCAAACCGCCTTGGCTTTTTTTGAAGGAGAAGGAAAGCGTTCCAAAGCCCTAAGGGGTTCCAATAGCGTTTGGGGGGGGAAGGCTCAAGCGTCCCCTCCGCCGCTCTGTCGCAATGGTACGGTCTGAAGAAATGGGGTCCGAGGGTGAGGCAGAGAAGCTCTGCGCATGCGTTAAAAAGAGTCAAACCCGGAAGCGAGTGTAAAAAGCCTCCTCCCTTGGCTGATGGAATTCCCTGGCAGGGCGGGAATCACCGCGGGAATTCCTATTGGGGTTGCCCGGGTTTTTTTTCTTCTCCCTCTCAGCGAAGAGAGAGGCAGCGTTCACGTTGGAGGATGATCCGACCAGAGAGAGCTTGAGACTTTTGTCCCCTCTTATCCTATTAAATTCAAGAAATGTTTATGGGTGTCATGTAAACATACATATCTTCTTTCTTTATATAAATAAAAATGTAATGTTCGTTTGTGGGATTAACAGAACTCAAAAACCACTGGACGAATTGACACCAAATTTGGACACAAGGCACCCAACAACCCAATGTATGTACTTCACTCAAAAAAATTGATTTTGTCGTTTGAGAGTTGTAGTTGCTGGGATTTATAGTTCACCTACAATCAAAGAGCATTCTGAACCCCACCAAAGATGGAATTGAACCAAACTTGGCACACAGTTCTCCCATGACCAACAGGAAATACTGGAAGAGTTTGGTGGGCAGTGTCCTTTGGTTTTGGAGTTGTAGTTCACCTACATTGTGGACTCAAACAATGATGGATCAGGATCAAACTCTACATGAATACTCAATATGCCCAAATATGAACACTGGTGGAGTTTGGGGAAAATACAATCTTGACATTTGGGACTTGTAGTTGCTGGGATTTATAGTTCACCTACAATCACAGCATTCTGAACCCCACCAATGATAGAATTGGGCCAAACCTCCCACACAGATCCCCCATGTGGGCCACAGCAACGTGTGGCAGGGGACAGCTAGTATATACATATAATGTAATGTTCGTTTGTGGGATTAACATAACTCAAAAACCACTGGACGAATTGACACCAAATTTGGACACAATACATCTATCAGACCAACAAGTGACCATCACTCATAAAAACACTGGAAAACAGCAGAAGAGACTTAAAAAGCCCAAAAATAAAAAATACATTACAATATATATGCAAACACACATATATACACACATTTTGTTGTTGTTCATTCAGTCACTTCCGACTCTTCGTGACCTCATGGACCAGCCCACGCCAGAGCTCCCTATCGGCCGTCACCACCCTCAGCTCCTTCAAGGTCAGGCCAGTCACTTCAAGGATACCATCAATTCATTTTGCCCTTGGTCAGCCCCTCTTCCTTTTTCCTTCCATTTTCCCCAGCATCACTGTCTTCTCTAAGCTTTCCTGTCTTCTCATTATGTGGCCAAAATACTTCATCTTTGCTTCTAATATCCTTCCGTCCAATGAGCAGTCAGACTTTATTTTCTGAAGTATGGACTGGTTGGATCTTCTCGTGGTCCAAGACACTCTCAGAACTTTCCTCCAACACCACAGATCAAAAGCATCTATCTTCCTTCGCTCAGCCTTCCCTATGGTCCAGCTCTCACATCCATAGGTTACGACAGGGAATACCATTGCCTTTACTACACATACACAAATATATACACACACAAAGCACATATACACAGACTGGGCCACAGCAACGCATGGCAGGGGGTGGCATATATATATATATCAGGTATATATAATAGGTATAAAAACAAACTTTCACTGATAACAAATCAATATTTGCAAGGCTTGCCAAACTGACTGTTTTTCTAGGTTTCTGTGAATTTTCCATGCTGTATGGCCATATTCCAGAGGCATTCTCTCCTGATGTTTTGCCCACATCCTCAGAGGTTGAGGGGTCTGACCCAGTGATTCTGCCCATGAAAGCCTTCAACAATAAAATAAAATAAAAATAAAACTTTATTTGCATTTCACCTATCTCCACGAGGGGACTCAGGGCGGATTCCAGCATAACAATGGCAAACATTCAATGCCTACATAAAACACACGATACTAACATAAAATCCCAGAAAAACCCCACATATAAAAATTACATTAAACCCTAACATCAAATGAAGACCTAACGTAAGTACAGTAAATCAATAACGCATTGACTGATTTTCCTTTCTACGAAGTATAGCTGAAGCCATTTTTTGTAGAGTCCACTGTAAACATTGCACAACAGATTTGTATAAAGGTCTAAAACCTAGGTGGCATTCAGAAAAACATTTACTGATGCCATTTTTGGGATCCCAACACTGAGCTAAGGGGGATCCTATTTGGGTTCATGACCCAAAGTTTAAGAAGCAGTCATCTGTAGCAACTGGTATTTGTTGTGTCTCCAATCCAAATACTAACCAGAGCTGTCCCAACTTATCTGTCCTTATAATAACCCAGTTAGTGTTTTTGTGAATGGCCAACGATTGATGACTTAATCATTTCCAGTTCTCTCAGTTCTTTGTGACATAATCTACACTGACCATATAATGCCATTCCAAATTGCATTATATGGCCATGTAAATGGGGCAGAATTTCAGTTCTCTTTAATTTCGTTGTTTACAATTCCAGCTACTTCTGTTGTGTGTGTGTTTACACCTGTAACTAGGCATGCTTTAGACGCTAGTAAGATGAACTGCCGTCCACGAGCATTTAAGCCAATACGATGCTGTTGGTCTTGTGAAACCCACAAGACTTTGAGTTGTTTTTGTTATTACTCCACATTTATCCGCAGCATAACCTTGAGTGCCTCATAAATGTGTAACGTAACAGATACTACAGTATGTCACACACACACACAAGACAGTGATATATTGTCCTAGTTATGTGATTGCAAAATCTCCTAAAAGCTTCTGTCTATGAACAGCTTTCAACAGCCACAAACTAGGTTAAAGTCAGGAAGCTCAAGACATTCTTTGTGACATCATAGGTAACACAACCACCAGCCACAAAATATATTAGTTAATATTCATGTGGCTTTTCCCAAAGTTGTAATCAAATGGAGACCTAAGAGTGTATTTAGCAAATCATTGAAGACTGTTCTGAGACCACAGCCTTTTCTAACCTGGTTGAAATTGCGTATTGTTTCCAATTACTCCATGTAGTGCCCAAATAATAGACTGGGAATAATAGATATAGTAGTCTACAACATGGGAAGGGCTCCAGGTTGAGACTGTTGTGGACAACAGATTCTTTAGTTTAGCTATTGATATCTATCGGCTCCATTTATTGTTAGATTAATGGTTATCATTCTGTCTCTCTTTAAAAAACTGTTTATTCTGCTTCTTATTTTAATGTAATATCCCCGTTATTCCAGCTTGATTTAATTTGTTGTATAGTTGCTCCTTTGTTCCTGCCCAAAGCCATTCCGAGACTGTGATGCAGTAAAAAAGAGGCAGCCCAGTCACCCATTGATATTTTTGATCTTCAAGGAGGAAGGAAAGCATTTCAAACCTAATGATTCATGTTCTTCCGCTTCCCCAGACTCGGTGTGTGAAACTGTCCCTGCTAATCTTTATGTATTCTAGAAATCTAACTGCCCTTTAGGGTTGGTTGCCTTTAGCATCAGACTGAATCCAATACACTTCAAGTAATCAGGTACAGGCTGAAGCTGAAAAAGCTGAGTTAATATAACAAAAAAAGAAAGGAAAGAGAGCTATGTTTTGATTTTAAATGGGCCTTTTTAACACTCCATTTATTATTTGCCATCGACTAGAGAGTCAATGTCTCCTATCAGATATGTTACTTGAAACAAATCTGAATGGGATTATGTGGATAAATGATATCATTTTATCTCTCAGAATGTAAGTATCAGCAGGATATATCCAATGTTCTTCAAATGAAACCATTCTTATAAAGACTCCAATTTTATCAGCACTGTTGCACCTCCTGCTGTGAATTGGCATTTTGTGTTTATGTTTACAGTTTTAACAGCAAAAAGATAGCTAACTGCAGCAGAGGAACACAGGTTTGCCACATGATGCCTCTCAATGAATGTTCCCAGCTACTCTGGCATATAGATTATGTTCAGGAAGAAACAACATGCAATCTTGCGGGACCTTACAGGCTAGTAAATGTTGGTATGGTATAAGCTTTCAAGGAATGCAGCCAAGAGACATGGAGTGCTTCCTTAATTGGCAAATGATTAAAAAAATGCATGGTTGGAAGACTATAATCAGTAATGTCAGTGGAATCAGAAATGCAAATACACACACACACACACACACACACACACACACACATAAATATACGCTAAACAGTGGCCATTACAAAAAAAAACAGTTACATGGAAATATCAATATTAGGCATGTGCAATCCAGGCAAACCTTGAGTCATTTCATTTCCTGGCTTTTGGTGAGGGCCTTGATCCTGAATTTGGAAGGGCAGATATCTGTTTTTGCTCTGGAGTGCCGAAAGATCTGTTTTCTTTCAACCCATTATTTGGGGGGGGGGGGGGGGTTCAATGATTCCGCGTTTCCATTCATGTTAGGTCATTTCGCTGTTTTTCTATTGCTAGAGGAGAGTGCGCTTCAGCTGAAGAGGCTAGGTCCGTGCGCTTTTCTTCCTGGGCCTGGCACTATCAGCATGCGCTCTTTTCCAGAGGCAAGGGGCAAGTGTTGCTAAAGGCTGTTTTTTTCTTACTTCTATAGTCAAGTTGTGTGTCGCATTTATTTATGATTAATTATGTACAGTGAGCCATTGGTATCTACTGGGATTTCAAAATCCCTTGTGGATACCAAATTCCATAAATGTTCACATCACATTATATTCATTGGTGTATATAGTAAAATGGTGTCTTATATATATAATGGCAAAACTTAAATTTGCTTTGTGGATATTAAAAAAAATTCAAGTCATGGATGGTGGAATCTGTAGATACAGAGGGCCAACTGTATAAGGACTTACCTGTCTGTCCTGGATGGCAAATGACATCATATATCACTTTGAAGATATGCAGGTCTATAGAGTCTTTTAACGATTTAGCCAAATAAAGAAGCATAGTTGGCTTAATGGTCTGCAATAGGATCTGACTACTTATGGTCTCATCACACTTACCTAAATCAGCATCCTAGGACGCTTCCACCCTGTCTTCTGGATGGA